TTGCCTTTCTTGCATTCTTTTGGATGTGGGGTGGCTTATTGTTTGTATTTTTGGCTGTGTGCCCTGCCTGTTTCCTATCTCTGAGTACCTAACGCCATTAGTACTATCATCCGTCTTTTTTTTTAGTCTTTTCCTTTTTTTCACTTGTCCTTGAGATTGTTCCCAGGGTAACTTTTCTAGTAAAGTTTTAACTCCTTCAACACTGAAATTTGACCAGAAAATGTTCAACATAATCAAGTACTAACCACCATAGGGCTGAGGAGAACAATGAAGGGTTCTTACAATTTACACCTAAAATACCCCCCAAATGTCTCACATCTTTGGAGGGTGATTGGATTGTGGAGTGCTATACTCAGAAGGCCTAACCATGTGATTTAGAAACCTTGTAGAACTGGTTTGCTGAGTGAGTTTGGAAAGGCTTGGAGATCCCGGCTACAGAACAAGTAGAGATTAATGGGAAATTCTGGTCAGAGCACAGAAGACCAGAATGTTGATAGGAAAACAAAAAGTAAAGATGAATCCGAAAAGGTTTAAACTGGGAGCAAAGGGTCCATTAGCAGATAGATTAGCAGCCATGTGAGTTATCCTGGAAAAAAAAAATTGTCTTTATTTTGTCTATGTCCTGAGTCTTTGTAGCAGATTGAGATTAAAAACAATGAATCAATTAATCTGTTGGAAGAAATTTAAAAGCACCCCAACATTCAGGCTGTGTCATAGTTACTCCTGGCTGCTCTTAGCAAGATCTATTGTGAAAGTCAGGAGGAAAAGGCAGATGTGAAAAGTTTGTAGTTTCATCAAAAAGTTCCAGCCATGGATATTACAGTTGCAGAAAAGATTAGCATTAAAAAGAGGCCAAGTACTTTGCATCAGAACAATAGAAAACATGGTTTGAACATATCTCAGGAATCACCAAGACCCTACACTTTGCAGTTGCAAAGGTACAAAACTGTAACACTTTCATTTAATAAGAAAGTCCCAAGCCACCTGCTCAGGAAAGGCTACCTATTGAACTGGTTCTCAGGAATTCACTTCACCATACTCAGCCATCCAGGCACTCAGTGAACTCTTCAACCATGACCCCAGGGGGCCCAGCTATTGCTTCCAATTTCAGTAGACCTTGGTATCATTCATATGGTACTGGGTTTTTAGGCATACAGAATTCAATAGTTGTAGGATCAGAGAGGCTTCCACCCAGATTTTAGAAGAAAGCCTGGAAGGCCAAACAGTGTGCCCCTGAGAGAGCAGGATATAATGCTGTATGTTTTGCTTTTAGGGGATTTTTAAAAATTCTTTATCTAGATTTTAATCCACTTCAGTATCTGCAATGATCTGTGGGGGAGTCACTAATTTTTGGAGATATCTTGTTTCCTTGTTTTTTCATGATTCTTATAATCTTGTGTTAAAGTTTGCATATCATGTGGGGTAGAAATTACTACCACTATTGTGTGGAGATCATTCAGTAAGTGGTTTTCTCCTTATGATGATCCCTCATCTTTGGGTGTAACTTAGTATGAAAGCACCCACTCAAACTGTTTATAACATTAGGTTCAACACTTAGCACTGCACTGTTAGGAGAGACTAACTACCAGTAATGTCAACACCCAAATACCCAACCATGTATTAACAATTAATTTAACACTTATTCAGAAAATTGTCTACTATTTCACTAACCCAGAAAGACAAAGGAATAGTGATAATTGGAGAATAAGATAGAGTAAAAAAAAGAAATTGTTACCCAAGAAAAGAGATGAAATATGAAAAAGAGAAACCAAGAAAAATAGGTTTTAATGATATTGTCACTGGACTGGATCTGAGGAGTTTCTGAGCACTGAGATAAAGAACCTAACTCACCCTACTCATAGAACAGGTTTACAGTTTCTCATTTGCATCACAGAAAAAGATTTTTCAGGACTAGTCAGTAAAAGATATGGGAAAGGTTTTATTAGTCAAAAAGTCAAAAGTACATGCTCAAAGAATTAGTGTGGGGACTTAAGACAGAGACATTGATTTTCTGGAATGGGGAATAGTTATACTTCTCTTGAAGGTGTGGAAGCCCTGGGGAAAAGTGGCCCACCTCACAGAAGGATAGTAGCCCATTCTACAGGTACTTCTGGGGCTTTTTAATATTTAATTTAACATTCTTTAGATTCTCTCAACCTGTTCTCTTATCTTAGGATCAAGTTTCTCCTCTCAGTTTCTCAATTAAGCCAACAATGGACTTTTAGCTTATGGTGGTCTGAAAGAAAGAAGTCTAAATTTAACCAAAAAGAATACTGACATGAATCATCTTGGGTAACTTCAATTATGTACTGGAAGTTGCAGTCATTTTCAAAGTACAATTTTAGTTGTAATTTCTTTGTCACCTTTCTACTAATCTTTAATTTTTTCAAACCTACTTCAGTAGCATTTATTCACAGGAGTATAGAGGGGAGGAAGGGAAGATTTGAGAGGTTTATAAAGGGAAGAAAAGAAAGAATAAGAAAGGGAATATAAGTGGAAAGTAAAAGGACATTTGGAGAGGGAATCCAATGAATAAACTAGTAGAAATGCAGTTAGAAGACCCAAGAAACAACCATTGATGGGGAGAGCACAAAAAAACATGAGAGAGCACTGTTACAGTTTAAATCTAAAATGCCCACGGTCGGAAACTACTGCTAATGGGTTCAAAGCTAAATTAAGGGACTCAAAGCCCAGGAAACTTAGGGGCACCTGAGGACACTTTGTTATTTTGGATGACTCTACTGTCGGGGACACACATATAATGGTACACAGTTATATAAGAGCGATGTAGCGTAAGACCACCACACATGTGTAGCATGGTCATGCAAGCATACTAGCATGTAGCTAGTACATATCAATATATCTTGTTATGTCTGATAATGAAGGGATTGAAGGAATAAAGATGAGCTGAAGGAATAAAGAATAAAGATGACTAAAGGAATAAAGTGCTCTAGCTGAGAGCTCAACACTCTGGCTCTGCCTCACTTGCTTTTGCTGATTTCGTAGATCTCAGCTCCTTTCTTTTTGGTGAATTCAGTCATGACAGCAGACAAAATAAAGGAACACCTGTCAGTCCCAGATGGAAGGCTTGGCCCTGACACCAAAAGTCTCATATGGTGAGAGGTAGGGCTGTTGGAAAGTGATTGGATCATGAAGTACAACATTAACAAGTGGTTTAATCCATTGATGAATGCATAGCTCAATGTGCTGTTAAGAAGTGGCGTCTGGGCAGAAGAGGTGGGTCCCTGAGGGTGTAAAGAGATGAATTCTTGACCCCAGCTTCTTTCTCTGATTCTAGTTGCTATAAGCAGCACTCTCCTCACGTGACTTTTCTGTCTTAGAGGCAGTCAAATATACCAGAACCCTCTAAAACCAAGCCAAAATAAAACCTAACCCTAACTGTAACCCTAACCATAATCTGAATAAATAATTTTTTACTTATATAAATATACAGGCATTCTTCCTTTAATGACTGCGTTCTACTCATAGGTCTTTCTCTGAGTGAGTCACTAAATGAGGAATTGTAAGTTTGTACATTACAATATTCAGAAGAAAGAAATGGTCAAAAGAAACTCAAAATCAATGCATTGCTTTTATTTTCCTAACTTTTTCATGCAGTATTATAATGTATAAGAGAACAAAAAATTATAGTACTGTATTGTGCAAAAATTACAGTATTATATAAAAATGACAGTGAGGCTCTATCAATAAGATGTACAGCACTGTACAAAGAAAGAGGAGCCATAAGTCCAAGGGGTGGGTCTTAATCCAAAGAGTTCTCTTAAGTATGAAGAGGTGATAAAACGGGTAGATTGTTAAATGAGGAATATCTTATAGGATTGTATGTTGCTGAAGATTTAAAATCGCTAAACACAGGGCACAAGCTCATGTTTCACTCTCTATTCACACCTCTTAAACCTAATTCATTCTAAATGTTTCACCTATTTTACAAATTCATATCACTTTTTATTTACCTTCAATCTACCATAAAGTCAAGACTAGTAACATATAAATATAATAACATTTATCTTAATTATATGTTTGCCATTCTTAAGTTACTCTAATTTTTTGTGCCTATGACAAAATGCTTATTTTCTTCCTAGTGATTCAAAAATTAATGATGACAAAACGTATAAAAATATCCATTTCCAGTACAGTGGTCCATCAAAGGGCTACCATATTTTGGTATTTTGTGCATTGAAATATATATATATGTGTTTGTGTGTGTGTGTTATATGTTATATATATGTGATATATATGTGTATTATATATGTTATATATATGTTATATATATGATGTATATATATGATTTTCAAATGGAAATTATACATTTCTAATAACAATGTGCTACATAAATTATTAATTTGAATTTAATAAGATACATAGGAATTTGGAATATATCAATCTCATGATTCTGTGTAAGTCTTTAAATTCATAAGTAGGTTTTTAATATTTAAAATAACAGATTTATTCTTTTTTTTTGGTACCGGGGATTGATTGAACTCGGGTCCTTGTGCTTGCAAGGCAGGCCACCGAACCACTGAGCTAAATCCCCAGCCCTCATTCTTTTTTTATCTTGTATTTTAGAAACACTGATTACATTGGAAACATTTTATGTGTATAAAATTATAATGTTCTATTTCTTAGTAACTATCACACATGCATACATATGTATATTACATATCATAGGTTTTCACTTAAAATCTTGAAGATGAATAACAAAAATTAACATTCTTTTTTATATAAAGCTTTTTTACATTAAACAGTGTAACAAATACTTACATTGACATACTTCCATGTCTAAATATATTATTATATATACCCGTATTTGTACTGTTAAGATTGTAATGTCGTTGGATAGATCTGATTTCAAACATACTTTTGAAAAATTTATAAAATCATGTACAATAGAATATTTGAGAAGTAGAAAATTGTAAGTGCAAGAATTTCCCATGAACCGACTTTCCTCTTGGAATATGCAACATGACCCCCGAAATGGTCTATGAACCGGGAGATTCAGCATTGCTGGATCCACACCTCAGTCTTCTCAACAACAAGAAAGAGGCCCGTTTCAACTTAATATTTCCCAGAACTAATACAAAGGAGTGAACTGAAGGAAAGGCGCTCGTAGTAACATGACAAAAGAGAAGAAAAGACTGATATCTTAAATTTTGTGTTAAGAGTGACAGAAAGAAAACTGTGTACAGCAGGAGAAAGACAACCACACTTTGCAAGGCTTTCATGTGGGCCGTGGTGCCGGCGTCTCTGGACCCTCGGGCATTAAGCTGCATCCTCTTCAGATGCTTCCCCAGGGAGAAGATGAGCAGCAGAAAAGATGTCAGGGACAGAGCAAAGGCTATGAATGTGAATACAGTGTTGCTAAATAAAAGAAAATTTGAAAACTCAGGAAACTCATATAAACTGAAGTTGTAAGACATGTTTCTTTTATATTCACCAATCCAGACATCCATATGTGTTTTTGACTGGAAAATATTTAAAAGCAAGAGAATAAGAGACACCAACAAGGTCACTGACACCACCTTTTTAGCTCTCCACTTGAAGTAAAGAAAAACAGAGTTAGAAAAATTAGCTATCTTGAGACAATAAAAGATGCTGAGGCAGGTAGCAAGCCAGGCATTAAAATGGCAAGTCACGGTCCAAATAACATAAGTTATTCTTACCGTCATTACACTGATGAAGAAAGATGGGTAGAACACGTGGGTCCACCACTTTGTGAACAATAACCACAGCAGACCGATCCTGGAGATGGCCAAAGCAGTGAGCATGTAATCAGATGCAGAGATCTTTGTTCTCCTGACCAGGTCCATGCAGTTCACCATGATTATGAATCCATTTCCTAAAGTTCCTGTGATGAACTCCACACTAAAAATCACACTAAGTATGCTCACCATGACACTATCCATTATCTATAAGCAACTGGTGCAACATGCAATATCACTGCTAAAGATTATTCATGCATTCACTTACAATTTTGCATACATATGAGTCTTTAAAAATTCAAAATACACTATCTTTTAAAATATCTCTCATAAAAGAAAAAATATGAGAAAACAAAACAATGGAAACAAAGTCTTTGTAAATAGGGAAGGATGGAGGGGGAGAAGGGAGAGCAGGGGTATGGGGGAAAAATGAGAACCAAGACGTGTCATATATAGGTAAGAGATCCCAATGATAAATGAAACTGTACTGTATACCTAAAAAGTACCAATAAACTCAATGAAAATAAAGTATCAAACAAAAAAAATCAAAATTTGCAAATTAGTTCAGAGCATTCGGCTTGAAAATCTTGTATTTTCTAGCCATTCCAGTTGAGTTGCATCCAAATACTGTGAGCCTCATGCATGGGAGCCTGGAGTCTGCTGTAGTCGATGAAGAAGGAGGCATAGAACAAAACCATATTTATTTACATCTTTTTGCTGTTCTTGCCTCAGCTGTGTATTTTAATCTGTGTTTCTGAGATCAGGGAAAATAAAATTATGAATTCTAACTCGTATAGAAGGCAACAGGATCTAAACTAATATATGGAACTTCTGAAACACTGCGGTTCTTTAAATACTTTAAAATTCAATCTTTACAGTGACGTATGCATATATTGTACAAAGCTCTAACTGGGTATTATGAGTTACATGTCAGTGTATGGAGGCCATTATTTCTTGAATATTTAATATTGAGATAATATATATCATTTTAGTTTTCACAAAGGCATGCACAAACACCCATACACACCCACACTCACATCTCACACATAAAGACATCTATTTGATTCCAAACTCCCTTTTTCTTGCTTCAATAATTCTGTTTTTTGTTTATTAAAAACGTTGTACATTGTGGCAAGAGTTAGTATTATAAGAGTCCTTAAAATTGTTTAAAAATGTTTAAAATGAATATTATGTGTTATTGACGTATTCAGCAAGATTAGAACAGTCTCTTCTGGGATGTGAAACGAGGTGTAAGTCTATCCGTGGTCCCATGCAGCACACCCCGAGAGGCACAACTTCACCTGCACACCACTATTCCTCCTGCTTGTCCACCCTCTTCCCCAGGACGGCCGTTCCCTCCAACCACCTGAGACCACCAGACCACACCCTCCCTCCACACCCACCTGTGTCAGCTCCACGACCCTCACTCCAGGAACCACGCAGGTTAGGTCTGAAACACTGCCCGGTGCCATGGGCAAAGAACCACAGCACAGTTGTTCTTCAGTACCTAGAGAGTGACCAAGGGACCGGTGGAACAAATTCAACAACAGTTATAAGAACAGCGGGAAGATATGCATTATAAGCTTCAAAGATGGCAGAGAAAGACAGGGGTATTTACTGTGACCGGGAGATCCCATCTCCATTTCCTTCAACGTGTAGTGAGCAAACAAAGGGAACATCATATGCTTTTAAAATTCTCACAGCCACACATTTATGGAGGGACATTTTGATAAGGCAAAGTAGACTAGCACAAGAAAATTCTAAGAAAAAGCTCCGTAGACATACCACTAGTGTGGAGGCAGGAAGATCCCTGCGTGAGTCAGCTTTCCATGTAGTCACAAAGTATCTGTTATAATCAACTTAACAGGAGGAAAGGCTTAATTTGAATTATGTTTGCAGAAGTTCCACCCGCAATCACTTAGGTTAACTGCTTTGGCACCTGAAGCAAAACAGACATTTGCTGGGGAGCTTGCGGTAGAGCAAAACTGATCACCTCATAAGAACTGGAAGCAAAGAGAGAGACAGGAATAAGGTCCCAATATCCCCTTTGCGAGCATGCCCATTGCCCTAACTTCCTTCCTCTAGATCCCATCCTCCGAGGTCCCATACCTCCCAAGAGTTCCACAGCCTTTAACTTGCAGGGCATTTAATGTCAAGAAATAACAGCCTCTCTTGCTCCTGTCCTCCTAACATTGATGATGAGCGCAGCAAAGAGGACAAAGAGATATGTAAACAGCCACCTGTGGTGCTCTATGGAGTGAGAGGTGAACCAGGAATTTCGTGGCCATTTAGAAAACATGGAAAACAAGGGCTCCACTCACCTCAGAGGGCTTTAACTACTGCATCTTCCCCCTGGATGGAAGCACTCTACTTTCCACCTCACCTAAGACTGCTAGAGAGAGACAATCTTTTCCAGACAAAGTGAGAACTCAGTTAATGCAGTTCACCAGGGCTATGGCAGACTGCGGCAACATTTCCCAAACCAATTGTCCACGTAGAAATGATCCTTAGTTAAGGGTAGAGAAAAGACAAAACACAATATCTCTGGTGTTATTTCTTGATCTCATGACCTAGCGTTCTACCACCACCTGGTTTCTGTATGTACAGTAAAGATCCTGCTGTCTTTTACATTCTGCGAACAATATCATGCCAGAGAGTACCACAGCATACTAAAAGGTCAATTAAAGCATATTCTTAGTGAAAAGTTATTCCTCAAATGGCTCGGAATAAGTCCTATATATGTGCTATATGTCCTTACCAGACTGGAATATCTCACAGAAGATGTCAGGGTGACAGCTGAATTCTCATTTGCTACTACGCAAATGAAGGCATATCCTCTTTCACTGTTTTTGCGGTTTTGCCCAATCTAGAGTCTACATAATAGGGCTTCATCAAGCTTAGATATCAGCTAGTAAAATTCTAAAGTGTAATAGATAGAACATGCAGAAATGTGTGAGCTGATCAATGCACCTCAGCTCTAAGAACATGATTTTAATATTTTATTATCATCAAAAATTTATTTTAACAAAACATAATTTGATTTGTTAATTAAACACTACCTTTTTGGTACTGGAAATTGAACACAAGGCATACACAATGAGCTATAGTCTTATCTTTTCCTTTTTTTCTTCTTTTTTTTTTAACACAAAATCTGGATAAGACACTAAATTACCCAGGCTGGGCTCAAAATTTTGATCCTCCTGCCTCAGCCTCCCAGAGTAATAAGATCATACTCATGAGCCAACACACCCAATAGGTACTATAATTTTGAAAGAATTCATGGCCCTATTTATTATCATTTTGTTATTCTTTCCCTTTGTTGGTTTAATTAGCTCTTTAAATATTGATATTTTTAATCTCAGAGACTATTTCTTTTGATGTTAATTTTGTCCCACCAGCTTTTATTTGGTTGGTATGTTAGCTCAGAATTCACCTTCATATCCATAAGATAATTAAATGATTTAATTAAACTGATTAAATGTAGTAATTTAATTAGACGAAATTTAGCTGTCTTTCACTTTTTAAAAAGTGTTCAGTTTAGTAATTTGGAGAATAACATCCATATGATAACATTAGTGTTCTCTCACCTTCCAAGAAAAGGATAATATCAGAAAGCCCCCAAAACATCAACAGAAGCCAAGCCACTGAAATAGTCTGCTATCCTTCCTACCCTCCCCACCAAGAAAAGAAACACAACAAACAACATATTCTCAGAGAGAGGCACCACAGAAATGGAAAACCGGAAAAGAGCCTCAGAAAGAAGCACTGCGCCCTTTAGAAACAACGGAGAGAACAGAAAAGCAACTGTAGGGTTTGACATACAGAGAAAGGAGAGAAAATACAGGGAATAGATTTCCCATGTCGGAGTCGGCAGACAACTAGTCCCCAAGCACACCACACTGCACCCTCCTGCTAAGCTCACCGATTCAACTCTGACTGAAATATAAGTAGGACTATGAGCACATTTTACTTTTTTAAAATTAAGTTTATTGGTGCATTCTACACATACAACACAGTTACATTCATCATTGGGAACTTGTACCTTTAATGATGTATCTGGGTTCTTACTTTTTCCCCCATTCCATGCCCTCCCTTCACCCCCTCCACCCCTCCCTATTTACAAAGACTTTGTTGCCATTTTTTCCTTTTCTCAAATTTTCCTTTCCCTTCTTTCCTTTCCCCTACCCCTCCCACTTCTCATACCCCTTTAGACCTTTTCTTCCTATTTCACATTATCAATCATATATTTGGATCCTTATTTACACTTTCAGTTTCACACACCAGAGAAACTATTTGGTATTTACACAAGTGTGTCCCATTTATTTCACTTAAGAGTATGGCCTCAATGTGCATCCATTTAGCTATTAATGTCTCTAGTTTTTCATGCTTTATGGCTAAGTAGTATTCCATTTATTGAACACACACACACACACACACACACACACACACACACTAAAATCAAGTTGTGAACATGGATCTCTCTTCTTCATCCACTATAGATATGATCATGATCTAAGCTTTTCATGTACTTGTATTAAATCTAATATTTTTCTGTACTACTTATGGTAGTACTAAATTTACTCCAAATATATTTGTTACTGAATATTTATATGCATGTTTTATAATAACATTTGTTTATTTTTAATTAAACATGAAATAAGAATTCCTGAAGACATAAATTATACCTTAAATATACATATTTTTGTATAATTGGGTGGCTTGCAAAAAAATGATCATAGTATATTCTGACAGTTTTTCTTATGTTTTCCATATGTACGCACTAACACACAAACACATATATACTTTTCTTTAATAAGTTTAGCTAAAAATCTTTCTGCGAATATCTCTGGAAAGCACTCAAAACACTACGGAAAAGTAATCAGCTATAAAGTACAAAATGTCACAGATTCCATCGCTTTGATTTCTGCTACGAGTCACACCATGTCCCTGTTATTGATATGGAATGTCTCCATTCTGTCAGCCAGCACCTTGCCAGCCAAAGAACTGACAGAAATGCCTGTTTCAGCTTCCTGTTTCCCCAAATCAGGACACACGAATGGCATGAAGGATACAAAGCCCCAATAACCTGGGAAAAAAAGAAGACTTTACCCTGAAATGTCTTAGAACGCCAAAAGGACATGATCACACATGAAGAGTACACAGCAAATAACAAGAGAAAGGAGATCACAGTTTTCAAAGCCTTCACATGCATCCTGGTGCTGGGGTCGTGGGACCCATTGCCGTAGACCTGCATCTTCCTGAGATGTTTGCAAAGGGAGCAGATTAACAACAGAAAACAGATCAGGGATATAAAAAAGGGTATGACGATTACTAGATGAAATACAGTCATAGTTGAAATGTCTACAGCATCCCTCAGTTCAGTCTTCCAAGTAGTGTTTCCTTCATATTCTTTCACCCTCCTTGTCTCGTTTACATTTACAATTGAAATCTGAAGAAGCAGTAACACCAAAGTCACCAGCAGCATCCTTAAAATGACACTCTTAACTCTTCTCTTTAAGTAAAGAAAAACAAGGCTGGGGAAATTGGCTATTTTGAGCAAATAAAATATGCTTAGGCCAGTGGCAAGCCAGGTGCTAAAATGGTTAGTTATTGCCCAGGCAATTACAATAGTCATTTCGTGATAACTCTGTAAAGCTGGATTAAGCACAGTTACAAACAAATTTGTTATTATTGCCCAAAGCAAACCAAGCCTGGAGACAGCAAGAGCAGTGAGAATTTGATCAGCTGAGGAGATCTTTTCTTTTCTGACCCAGTCAATGTAATTCACCAGTACTATGAAAACATTGGCAAAATTTCCAACAACAAATTCTGCAACGACTAAGATCAAAATTATCCATAGAAAACTTATCATATCTGAAAAATCAGAAAACCAGGGGTTAATATTACTGGTCTTGATTCCTCTAATATACTGACTTTGAATTCTGTGTGCCCTTGACTTCCAGATGGGCAGTTCTGTTGTTTCTTTCAAATCCTGTGACCACTGTTAAGTAGGAAAGCAGCAGAGTATGCTCATGGATGAAGTCAATCCTGCCTTTATAGAAAAGTTTTTTTTTTCTCAAAGAGACAATTAATTCTTATTCATATACCCTGCCACAGGTCCGCATATATCACAACTGATGTTAGGGTAAAAGTTGCATTCTAATTTGCTAGAATGCAAATAAACACATATTATCTTTCAGTATTATGTAGTTTTTCCTTGTTTTACCTCTGTATAATTTGGGTAAGTCAACTCTAGTTTCTTAAAAGTAAATTTTTAGACCTCAAAACAGGGATCATACAATGAATATCTAAATCATTTGATGAAGATTTATTTGATTTAAAGTTATCGACACTGTTGATTCATATTTTTTTAAGAGTAGGAAAATTTATTGAGGGAAGGAAAGTTTCTGTCTAAGAGAGACCGAAGGGGGACCAGAAAGTGGGTTGCCCCTATTGATTCATTTTTTTAATGTCAGATTTATGTAGAAAAAGATTCCCAAATTTGTAAACAAAAGCAACTAAGTCTTTTTTGTGAAACTAAGAAGACCAATTCTCTTAGATACATCAAAACCATGACACATAAATTTAAAAATTAAAAACATTGGTTACAAAATTTAAAAATTTTCCCTATTTTCAAGATTGTAGAGTAACAGTTCATCAAACCAAATACAAAGAACAGCAGAATGGACCAAGAAATTCAACAGCGTGTTGTATACAAGAATTACATTTAACACTAAAAAGAAACTCATAGACTAAAATCAAAAGATGGAGAACAATATTCCATACAACAGATACCTGAAAACAAGCAGGAATAGCTATCGTATTTTCAGATAGTTTACTTCAAGCCAAAGCAGATCAAATGAGGCAAAGAAGGACATTACACAGTGGGTGACAGAACTAAATATTTAAGTTAAAGAGATAACAATTACAAACATATATGCAACAAACAATGGTGCACCAACTTCATAAAACAAACACTAACAGACATAAAAGATAAAATAAAACAATACAATTATAATGGAGTACCTTAGTAACCTTCTATCACAAGTAGACCAAGTACATGCCAAGTTGAAAATAAAACTGAAAAAGGTCCTGATGTGAGTAGCTATTCTTAAATAACAATTTATCTATTCCTCAATCTTCACCACAGTCTTTTACTAGAGGAAAACATAACAAGAATTTGATCTCAAAACGGCATTTCAATAAATAAAATATATACTGGAGTGATGCTGTCCTATAAGATAGATTAATTTTAAGGAAAGCCTTTTATTCTTCATATATTTTTATAAATGAGACTTCTTCCTAAAACCCTCTCTTTAAAAATAAGAGCTTGTCGGGACTGGGGATTTAGCTCAGCGGTTCAGTGGCCTGCCTTGAAAGGGCAAGGACCCAAGTTCCATCCCCGGTACCAAAAAAAGAAAGAAAGAAAGAAGAGCTTGTTTATAAAATATTTCATTTATTTTAACTTTGTTTATAAAATATTTCATTTATTTTAACTTTCTCATGAGAATAATTTTATCTACAAATAAATGTCGTTATCCTCTGAGAAGTTTAAGATCATTTATGAATCATTTATTCAAACAATGCACCTTAAATTTAAATGTGCTGAATTTCTAAATCTGAAGGAATTAAGGTTGACTTGCCCCTCGTTGTTAGCTAATGTATCTTACCACTCACGGTAATAGTCTGCAGAAGATTACTTAGACATTATCCGAATTACGTATCTCATGATTCCGAAATGAAGCATGGAAATACACGATGATGATCGTGATGGAAGCTAAATGACAGAAACCGAAACGACAGCGATGACCAGAGTCCAGCTTTCTGAGTGGCAGAGTTCACCGTGGCAGAAGAGCACGAACATCTTTTACCACGGCTTCTAAGCCTGCCTTCATCTCATGCGTCAAGACTGAGCTAAAATCAACCTACTTCTGATGAACTTACTTGCTATTTTATCCTTCGTTACCTTGTAAGAATAGCCTCAGAAAACAAAGCTCTGTATTTTTGGTTTGTTTATGGGAGCTTTTATATGGATATGTGCATATTGTCTATACAACACTACAGTACATATTTTTATTTTGTTCAAAAAGAAAGAGTTTGAATGTTTTCATTAAGAAGAAATAATAACTACTTTAGGATACATAAGCCAATTTAAATGTTTCACACTGCATGCATGTATTCAAATGTCACATGGCACCCTATTAATGTACAGTTTTTACATTTTTATGAATAATTAAAATGAATTTAAATCTTTAAAGAATTTAAAGAGGAAAACAAAAATATCATATTTTAATACCATCATTAGAAAGTAAAATTTCCTTAAAGAAACAACAACAACGGCAAAAGTAAAATTTCCTCAGCTGCCTATTTACATGCCCAACTATTGAATTCTGGGGGATTTTTTAACAGCAATAAAATTAGTGCTGCATATACACAAATATATACAAACATTACACTAAACTTTAACAAAAATAGTTTGCTCTCTATTTTTTGTTCTCCAACAAGGAACAAAGCAAATTTTGCCCAAGTCATAAATGTACATGTGCATAGTCACACACACACACACACACACTCATACACACATTTTTAATATATGGAGGTAGCAATATGAACATAGTTATTGTCCAAAGTGTGTGATATCTATACTCAAATTCAAGGGAAAATCACTAATCTCTGCTCCTTTGAAAGGTGCATTACAAATAATTACACTGGAAAGTGTTTTAAGTGTTTAGGAAATATTTAGGAGTTTTCACCAAGATTAACACTAAAAGTATGGATTTACAATTCCAGTATTTCTCTTTCTTTTTTCAAACAGTTTTTTAAAGGGCTTTTTTAGACTTTAAGTTGGATTTCCCAGTACCATAATTCCCTTTTCTTTCTTATTTAGCAAGAATCAAACAACAATGGTCTCTATGAGAATGTCATTAAGCTTGGTTTTATATTCCAGAAATTTTTTTCTGATTTTAAAACTATTTTATGTTTAAATATGACCTGGACATAGAACCTAAATGTACAATAAAATAAATAATTTATACCATGTTATTACATCTTGTTAAAAAAATAGAATTTGCCAGCTATTCAGACATTCTGCCATGTACTCCCTCCCTCTCCTCCCTCTTACTATCCCAATTTCTATATTAAACACTAATATTTTCACTTTAGAGTCATGGCATCAACATAGTGAATTTTTAAATTTTTATTAGAGTATATTTGTGATCATAATAATTATATTCAGGGGAAAGCTACTTCCCACTCCCCTTTCTGTCCCTCTTAGACACTTTCTTTCCCTCAATAAATTTTTGCCTCCATTGTTCCTAGAATTCATTCTTTGATTTTGGAGAATAAAAACTTACATTTCAGATATCTAGCAGGTTTGGGAGATACATCTCTTCTCCCTATATCGTATTGGAGGTCTTCACGAAGATTACTGGTCAGAGGTAAGAGTTTTCTTTCATAGGTTCTAACTTTGGTCTTTATGCCTCATAGATCGTAACTTGTTTCATAGGCTCTCATTTGTTTCATAGGTTCTGGTTTTTGTTTCATAAATTCTGGAGTTTGTTTCGTTTTTTTTTTTTTTCAAAAGTGTCTTAATTTGAAGTTGTGTATTTTAAATGTTTGCAAATTTCTTCTTTTTCTTATGTATTTTGTCTTGTTAAAATTACATTTTATTCTTGTATGTGTTGCATTTTGGACTTAGTTGCTTCAAAATGCTATAAAATGGCTGTCTTATGAAATAATCTCTGATAAAGACAGTTCAGGCTTCTATCTGTCTCTTATAGAATCATAAGCAAAAGGTGGTTATGCTGCCCACTAGTAGTGGCCTTTAGGGCAGCTGCCACTCTCAAAGCAGAGGACAGGTTTCTCTAGTTGCCCTCTGGTGAATCCCCACTCCCACTGATGCCAATGGCGGGTGGAACATGGACCATACAGGCAACTAGGTTCCTTTCAGAGACAGATCTCTGATCAAGTGGAACTAGCAGAAACAGGTGACAGCTGAGGGGTCATGGCCAGGGCTACTCTCTGGTGGATACCCAAAGGTACCTCCGAAGAAACTAGCTCCTGACAGCCCATCCAGGTAATCAGCAGAAAATCTCCATATCTTGTCCTATCTGGACTTCTCTGTGAGGTGAAAGGGGAACTCTGTCAGTGATCATCAGGTGTCCTCTGTCTCAGAGTGATCTGAAATGATGCCATCAGAGCCCTTTATTAAGCCTCCATTAAGAGTTGAGCTACAGATTTGGACTGCTTTCTGTACTACTAGTAAGACAGACCTCTAGACCAACATAAAAAACAAATCTTTCATAGATTAAAAACTACTGAAACTTCTCCCCGCCTCCTAAGCATGGTCTTCATCATTTATGTGTGTAGGGGAGAAAAATGCCTTTTCCAACTTTGAAACATTGACTTGTGGTCTTATAAAACGCTATAAGGTAAAATTTTTGGATGTTTAATCAGCTTGAGCTTTATTTGGACCTTTTCTCCCTGCTTAACTTAAAGTTAAAAACTCCCCTTAAACTTTTCTCCAACTTGTTGGGAGTTCATGTGGGAATCCCTTGTAGTCAGACTGCTCCTCCTTCCAGAAAGTCAGACTGAGACAACCCGCAACAACTCTTTTGTCTTCCACTTGGGAAAGTAGCAATCGGTGACTTGCATTTGTGTTTACATGCTAACTAGAGTATGGGACCAAACTAAGTCAGCCTTTCTCTTCCTTCATGTGTACATGTAAGAAGATGATACAGGTGCCTTTACTATGTAGATTGTGGCTGCTAGGAAGACCTACAAGTTTCGAGTACTTAGTGAATTTAAAATGGACCTTTAAGGATAGCCTTGTCTTGCTGCTAATAAAAGTTGTCTAACAGACAACAGAAATTT